CTTTAGAAAGTTTGATAAATATTAAATAAATGAATATTTTTTTTGAATTTATATTTTATACATATAATAATTTAAATATATTTATTTATTTTATTAAAGTATATTTTTTTTAAAATATTATTTTTTAAGATAAAAAAAAATATGTATGAGTAAAATTGTAGTGGGGCAAGTATAGCGAAAATTCTCCTAGTACTTATTCCAAAAGAGGATCGCCCTACATAGTTCAAGGAATTTAAATCAATCTCTTTGTGCAATGTAGTGTATAAAATCGTTTCAAAAGTTTTGGTTCGCAAGTTGCATCTATATTTGGCTAATTTGGTAAGTCCTTTTCATAGTAGTTTCGTTCCGGGATAATTTACTTAGGATAATTCTATTGTTCTTTAGGAGATAATTCATGTTATCCAAACATCAAAAAAATAATAAGGGAAATATGATTCTAAAACTAGATCTTGAAAAAACTTATGATAAGGCAGACAAACAATTTCTTAAACAAACTTTAAGGATCTTTAGGTTTTCGGAGATTATTGTCTTTCTCATCATGCATGGTATAACTTTTTCTTCGATTTCTTTAATGTGGAATGGTAACAAAATTGGTCCTTTTGCCCCTAAACAAGGCTTGAGGCAAGGAGATCCATTATCTCTATAGTTGTTTGTGTTGTGCATTGAGAGATTAGGGCGCGATTATTGGGTCAGAGGTGGATGGAGGAAATTGGTTGCCAATTCAAGTTTCAATGGGGGGCCCATGTATCTCTCATTTATTTTTTGCATATGATGTTTTACTGTTTGTCAGGGCTAAACCATCCCAAGCATGCATCATTGCTAGGGTGCTGAATGAGTTTTGTATGATCTTAGGCTTAAAAGTGAATTTGGGGAAGTCTCATGCTCCGGTAGTGAAGGTAGTTTCAAGGAGTAGGGTGACCAAAATGATGCAACTCACTAATATTCAACTCACAAATAACATAGATATTTACTTGGGATTTCCTATGTTTAATGGAAGTGGAAGAAAAGAGCACTATGTGCAACTTATGGAGAGAATGCTAACAAGTTGTTGTCATAGAAGGATAAGTTACAAAACAAACCAAGTACGATGACCCTTGTTAATGTAGTCATGTCTACTATATCATTGTATAAGATGTAGATTCATTATATGCGACAATACATGTATGAGTTTCTAGATAAAGTTGGACGATAGTTTATTTGGAAAGGTAGTAATGATTGTGGACTTCAAAGAGATGGGGTGGGCTTGGTGTTTGAGTGGCTCGGTTGCATCATGTGGCTTTACTTGGCAAGTTAATATGGGAGATTTTGGAGGATAGTCAAAAGTCATGTTAACACACTAATACATGTAGAAGATGAATCTTTCAAATATATGTAGAAGATGGTCGCATAGCATTCCTATGTCACACAAGCATTTGCCCAGGTGGGGGAGGCACAAACTAGCTAGGTGAATACCCACTCGCTATGCATCTTGGATTTCTTCAACTTGGTCATGGGTTACATTGAATGTGGATGGGAGTACAATCACAAATTCGGGAACTTCAAGATTTGGAGGTCTAACGAGAAATCACGAGGGAAGTTTTTTACTGGGGTATTATGGAAGTTTGGGTATGAGTAATAATATCCATGTGAATATCATGGCACTAATAAAAAGTTTGGAGGTGTGCTGGGAATAAGGATATTCACATATATATGAAATGTTAGCTGGATTGTTTACATGTGAATATCATGCGAACTCTCACATGTTCCGCAAAAGGGAGATTTCTGTGCAAGCTACTTAATAAGAAAGGGTTCAACATGCTTGGAAGATTTCCATCTGGTGGAAAAGGCTTCAGTAGATTTGCACTTGTTATTAGTTGTTGATGCGCTAGGTACTGAAGTGCCCCGAGCTTAGGAACTGGCTTGAGGCCAGTATTGTTTTAGTTTTATTGAATGTGTTTCAGTTTTGTCTTTTGTCTTTTGTCTTTTTTCCTCTCAGATGTAACCAAAAAAAAATCTTTAACAAGAATTGCGAGTTTACAAGTGTATATAAAGCCCATATTTCCATCCTAGCACATTTATTTCATATCCAAGGCTGGGATTTGAGCTTTGGATAATGTTATTATAAAACATAAGTTGTTATCATGTGAACATACATAAGATAGATATTTCTTTTTTAACATAGTTTATTTTATATCCAACTAACAAATCTTATGAATTAACAAATATTGAAATATTCATTTAATTATTATACTCTCACTATTTTTATGTTTTAGTCCTTATACAAATTATTATAATTTTATTTTTGTTCCTTTTACTTAAGAATGAGCAAATTAAAATAAATTGAGTTGGACTTTTAATAATTGAATTGGAAAAATAGTTCCCTCAAATTAAACTAAACTAAAAAATGATTCAAACAAATTCGATTGAACTATTTGTTGATTTTATGATGAACTGAATTGCAATTTAAACTAAAATAAATTGAGTTGATGTTCAAAATTGAATTGTTCTTGTACTCTAAACCAGTGGCGGATCTTCTTGGGGACTGGGGGATATATATATATATATTTAATAGTATATTTGTATAATTATTTTATAAAATAATTAGTAAATGATAATAAATTTTTGAGATTTTATTATCATGTATATTCAATTTGAGTAAAAAAAATGAGGAATATTTTTTTAATTAATAAAAATTTTAATTTATATATAAAAAATTTAATTTGGCACCTCCAAAATTTTAATCTAAGTTCCGCCACTGCTTTAAACTAAATGGAATTATTTGTATGTTAAGATTTAAATTAAACCAAAATTAGTTTAAAAAATGGTTTATAATTTTAAATGTTTTTTTTTACCAACAAATTATCTAAAATTTTGTCTAAAATATGACTCTTTTTTATGACTCTTTTTTTTATAAGAACATTGGTGCGAAAAAAGGCTATGAAATTAAACTTAAAAATAAGTTATATCATAATTGATTTTAAAGGAGAGACTGACATTTTAGTAAATATGATGAGTTATATTATAATTAATTTTAAAGGAGAGACCGACATTTTGGTAAATATAGATACCACATTTAAGATCGATTCTAATGTAACTAATTTTGTATTGAATACAAAAATTTGTGTGTATTTTATATGTTGCCTTATATTTTTTTTGAATCCCTTCCTTCCTCACACACGAGTTACTTTTCCACGACCATTTGTCTTCTTCTTTATTATTGGGTCTCTAATTTTGCTAATGATTTGTTATGAGAAGACAAAGATCTTATGTCACCACGAAAGAGGGGGAAACCC